GGGTTAATTTCAAAACAAAAAATGTAAACATTGTGATATGGATAAGTGTAAAACTGTGTTTTATTTCTTATAATGTACATGTATTTATTTCATCGCATTTTGTTTCTGCTTCATTTTTACATGTAATTATTCTTATGTTCAAATGACATAAACTACACAAATTCAAATCCAAATGGCACAGAGTGTCTTTGTAGTTACGCCAAGACTTAGTAATGTAAGTCAATCTTTCAAATAAAAATTGACAATATCAGTCGTTTGTTATAATCAATAATACAGACATGGAAAATGTATAATTAATCGATACAAGTACATAATAGTTATTATGCATACACTCTGAGATCTCTTAAAAAGACGCTTGATTGTAAAAAAGACATAATTATGTTAGTATATCATAACGTATAACGGGGAATGGACAGTGAAACACAAAATTTTTAAACATTCTTCATTAAAATATTGAGTCTACCAATAACATATTACCTAGAACAGTAGAAAAATAACAGAAAAGTGATTGGCAAACAGCTCTGTCATACAAATGCAAAAGTAAGCAGACAGTATATAAATCGTCCGATTACACAGAATGGATTTTAGCTTTCTTGTCTTCTAGAACGTCGACGAATCAGTGTTTCGTAAAGGCTTAAATCTTTATTTTCACCAGTTCTCCTCCGTCGATTAAACTCTTCTAAACTTCCGACTCCAATTCCGTTAGCGACACCCGCAGATAAGCCCCCATCCCGACACATAGGACTGCCGCCACAAAATCCACCCATGTAGGGAAATCCACGAGTCCCACCTCTGGCTCCTATATAACCTTCACGAATACCGCCACGATCACGTTGACCTTGACGATCTAATCCTTCCTGCTGTGCTTCCGGTCTCTGGCGTCTTGGCCTTTGTACTCTTTCTCGCGGACTTCCAGCTGTCCTTGGCTGACCAAATCTGTTATCAGACATTCTTGGTTGAAATGATGTATCCACGATGGTGTTTTCGTAATTCTGTGGAGGGTTGACATCATATGACTGAGTACCAGTATCATATATCGGGTCGTAAGTCTGAGCTCCGTTTGGATTTATTTGATCTACCGGCATACCACCTCGAGGTTCTCGTGAAGCATCGTTACCAGAAATGCCATACCCTATAATGACAGCATTGATTAGGTGTTTGTTTGCTTTACAATATATACCTCTTTAAAAAGTACCTAACTTTTGTAACGACAATTTTCATTGGATAGGCATGATGTTTATATAGTCTATATTCACGGCAGCAGTAAATTTAGGAAGTAAATTAAATATTCTTTCCTCAAATAAAGCAAATCTGCAGTATAAATTCGTTATAAATATTTATGCCCATTAATGACATTATGCCCATCCAAGGATATATAGTGAATAAACAGGTGGAAACAAATGTTGGTCAATAACCCTTTTAACAGTCAATCTTTTGAAATAATAGTCATTTCAGCTCAACTTAACAATGACAAAATAAGCACAATGTCACTTAAATGAACTTCAAGTTCGCCTTTTCGAATTAAGTTAAATTTCTCTTTTTTTTAAAAAAAATATGGATGGTTACACAGTTCTTTTCTAAATTGAATATTGTTGATTTTAATATGGTTAGACAACTGTCATTTTCTCACAATATAGCCGTGTAATTCTAAATGATTTCTTAAATATGTATTTTCTTTTTTTAGAAATAAAGGTATATAAAAGATTAGTTGTAAATGTAATTATTTTAGCTGTTATGTAATTCTCATATAATTACCTTGCTCTAAATAAGGTTGGCGAGTCATTCTCCTTCCGTGTACCGCTTGTGTAGGGTATCCATGTTCCGGAGAGATAGCACCCTGAACGTTTTGATATAATCTATGGCTTGAGGGCATCATTCTAGGATCATAATTATTATATTCATAGTTTGGAAACATGAATTCTGCTTGACCATGACCGTATCCAGTATGCAAAGGTCTGAAACCATTGTCTTGGCTATAGACCAGGTGGCTGGGGTGACTGAGTAAATAATCCGGTACATGGCTCCTATGTCCATGTAGTATTCCAGGTAGGGGTGGTAAATGGTAGTCGTGTCCTTTACTGGTTTGTACAAGTACAAGAAGAATTCCCAAGAAGCGAGTCATCCAGATCTAGAAATAGATATAATTATATGATGTTATTATTTCAAGAATTACCGTGATATAATAAAGGCCCATTATGGTATCGAATTGATATCGTTTACTGTTCTAAAAATATACTCATTTGCCACATTGATGATTTATGTTTGTTTCTGTTTGCTTTGTTGGCAGTTGGTATAGTTCAAGTGAATCAGTATTTTGTATGGAAGTCATTGAAATACTATTTTGTTTACATGTTTGCTACCTTTATCACACATGTTCTGCGCTTCTTTTATTAAGTTGTAAAGCATCTAACATATATTATGTTTTTTGTTTTCTTTTTGTTTATTTTTTTTTCACTTATATTATTGGAGAGGTCATCAGACCTCTCCACGGTGTTCAGACTGATTGCTGGCGGCATCCATTTTTGCGTATCTGATTGTAGTGAATGCATCTCATTTACAGCTTAAAACCATTAGGAGCAGTCTACAAAATTTGTTTTGCGCATGCTCCGTTTCAAAATACGACTTAACTTAAACGAAAAATTAACATCGGAGTGAACAAATCGGTACATAGAAAATCGGAAAATATCATTTACGTTACTTAGCGCTACGTGGATGTTTCATTTCGTTCTAATGTTTTAAACTGTATAAATCGATTACAGTATTGTTTTCTGAATAGCATTTTACTATTTCATATTCCGATAAATAGTGACAGTGACGATAAATAGTAACAGTGAACATTATAGCTACACTATTATATGACCGAGTGAACCATGTACCGAAATTTTGCTGCAAACGGTATGACTAAGTAACGCAACGGGGATTTTTTGGCGCAAATGACACAAGTTTGATTTTTATTAAAATATTGTGGTTGAAGGCATGCAGCTTAATATTCTGTTTATTCCAATCAAATGAAATAAAACATTTTTATGTAAATCCTGGACTTAAAATTGTCTGATAAACATGCTTTATGCCCGTTTTGGAAAATGTCGAGGAAATGTTTCCATATTCTTACCAAAACATTAACCGAAAATTTGCTTATTGAATTTTACAAGAAAATTTGATACTACTTTTGATATGCATATCATTTATTCTAATTTAATTCCCTTTGTAGAAAAAATATCCCTAATGCGCCAAGAAAAAGTCCATTTCTCCGGCATATAATCTTTCAAAACATTAAAAAATGAAGTGTAAAACAAACTTTCATTATGATACTATATATTCAATTTATATAATAAATTCTATTTTGTTAAATAATAATAATTATTGTAATTTATAACCATTCATTGTGTCTTTTTTTCCCCAAATATTTTCGAATTAAACAAATCTCCTACAGCAGCAAAAAGACGCATGCTTCTTTTTAAAGAAGCAAACTTGTAAAGAATATTGACCCCAAAAAAGGGCTGCCACTTTTGGTAAGGGAGGTAAATATTGTAACAATCAGGAACTATATCTATAACCTCTGCATAGTTGTCTTCTGTCGAGTATTAACATCTAATCTTAACAACAACAATATTAGTTTTTTGAAGTAAGAATTCAAGCAATGAATTTAACATCTCTATTAAAAAAAAAAGGAAAAAAGGCAGAATCCCTAAAGAACGCCCAAAACTGCAAAATTAAGTATGTTGCAGTAACCCCTGTTTAACAACTAAAAAGGTTGTTTTCTAAAAGGTGTTACGAACTTGTACTATATAAACGCACTAATATGTACCAACCTTCATTTATTAACCAACGATGATGAAAAAAGATCCCTCTTTATGACGATGTGTATCTTTTTTTATTATTAAATTGTGAGAATAATCATAGTTCCACTGAAATGATGTTTAAAACTAAATGCATCTAGTGATGTTTAGCTTATTAAATATGATTAGACCGTGCTGTACTCAATTGATACATTATATATAGTAACATGGGTTAAGTCGAACGACGCATAACTGGAATTACTCTGAAGAAAAAACCCGGAAAAGAATGTAGATTGTTAACGACATCATATTCATAAATTGAAGTATGGAAAACCATCAACATAATAATTAACATTTTGATATAAGGATATCAATGTCTTCCGTAGCTTTAGAACCAATGATTAATTATTAATTAAAATTTGAAATTCCTGTAAGTATGAAGTAATGTCCTTGGTTCACCAGCGTGAAAAAGTACTACAATGCACTTATTGTAAGGAAAGAGTGGACAGAGGCAGTTTTATCCATATCATATCTCAAATTGTATATTCCTAGCTCAAAACGAATATATTTTATAAATTATAGCCTATGGTCTACTTATGATATTCACAAGGCCTGCCACAGGGTGCAGTTTTTTGACAGTCAATATTTAAACAATTTGTCAGAATACAATGACTGATTTGTATTTGACTGTAAGGACATACTATCAAAGGCTACTGTTGATTGAATGAGTTTATACTTTAATTGAATAATAAAGTTCGAATATACCGACGATATGAGAATTTACAATGGTTCTTTAACTTTTCTTATAGAGAATATGTGTTGCGCAAAGCGGGAGAGTAAATATATAAAATTCTCTCATTTTGAAATTAATTTAAAACGGAACATATATTTTTATCTTGCTCGCCAGGCTTATTAAAATGGCGCCATTTAATGATTTTGACGTTATCGCAATGTAATAAAAATCTTTTCTTTAGGCGTTCTACCATACCCTATTTTTCAAACTATAAGCTAAAGCAAAAATTCTATATTCACCCAAGTCTCAGTGTGATATATTAACTGGTATACACCTAATTGATGTATATATTTTAGTATATCGTTGAAAACAATAAGATAATGCTGTTTATTTATTGGTTGTGGTGTTAAATTTTACGAATACATCATCTTTCTCGTGGTTGAAAAAATAAACGCTTCAAGCCAAAATTTTGATACTTTCTAAATTTGATTTTCTTTTAAATTATCACATATATAAAGAATTTAGATTTTTTGGTATGCATTTGTATCATAAATTATAATAACTTAAAAACCGACAGCTAAAAATAATCATGAAATGTTACATAAAAAAAATAATCTAAAATTACACGTGTGAAATATTGTTTACGTAAAGCACATTTTGTTGATTATTTTCGGCTGTAGGTTTTTAGGTAATTAAACATTTTTTAAAAAATCTAAATTTCTTTGAATATCAATACAAAAATTACTTAACCAAATATCACGACGTTTCATAAATACATAATTATAATATAATTATTGTGAAATATGTACATTTTGTTGGTAAGGTTTTCGGCCATTAACGTTTAGTGTACATTAAATCGTTACCTAATTAATACCTGTTTGAAAGGTAATCATTTATGGTATGAACAAAGTTATTTCACGTCTACAACCATTAAAGCAATAACCATGACAGCTATCTTACCACTTTAACAATATGATGAATGGAGATTTAATGGAGATTTTAACAGTCGTCAGTTGTTATTCTGTGTATATGATAAGAGTTCTTTCACCTGAACATACTCCATTATTTTCAATCGCATCTTTTCGGCCCTTTCCGTCAAACTTCGGATAAGAACCCCCAACACAATAGTAAAAAAATAAGTAGAACGGATCCGAGGTTTGTGTTATTACAATAGCCGAGCTGTTCCGATTGCATTATTATATGATTCTGCACATTTTTCACATAAATTTTCAGTAGATAGTCGTGTGGTTCATATATAGAGCTGCTGAGAATTTATTATTATTATTATTAGCTTTACAATAAAAGGACACAATCGTGCAGACTAGATATTTGTTTTGACAAGTTATATGGCTGTGTTAATAGAACCGATTATACTGAGCCATATATCATATCCAAAACCTTCACAAATTTTAATACACAGGGGTTCTTCCGGTTACAAAATAGAGCTACTAATATTATATTTTTTTTACATTTTTTTCCAGACTTAATGATTCCATGCAAATCACAAAACGTGTAATAGCCTCACAATTAGCTTAAATAATCAATAATTGAGCCGCGTCACGACAAAACCAACATAGTGGGTTTGCGACCAGCATGGATTCAGACCAGCCTGCGCATCCGCGCAGTCTGATCAGGACCCTTGCTGTTCGCTATCAGTCTCACTACTTGTAATAGAGTTGGTAAGCGAACAGCATGGATCCTGATCAGACTACGCGGATGCGCAGGCTGGTCTGGATCAATGCTGGTCGCAAACCCTCTATGTTTGTTTTGTCGTGACGCGGCTTAATTAAATAATCAGACTGGAAACCAAACAAAAATTGTCCATTGTTTTACTATTAACATCCTTAATTTGCTAAATGGGTTTTAGTTTGGAAAATTCCATTCAAATTCAAAAAAATTAAAAAGAGAGTTCAGCATCAAAATTTTAAACTATGCTTCCAACAAGAGAATCTTATCAGATTGCACGAATCTTCAGTCTGGCCTGTTTTAATGGTTAACCACTTTTAGTCCATGTAAAGAAATTGTTTAAAAGCAGTATCTGCCCACTCGTATCTTTATTTTTCGAGGGAACTTGGCTTTTTTGAATTACATAAATTTGAAATGCGAACAGTTCTTGAAAAATTTGAGGCGCAGCTTTTTATTGAAATCAATGAAACTTGTAGCCTTCATAGTGAGAATTTGATGGAAATCACGTTGACGTCGAAATGATGACGTCATGACTTCCACTTTCTGCATCTCTATATTGTGCAGCCATGTAAAACCATGGCATGTCACAATATTCAAAGGGGAGTAACCATAATAGATTACAACCAGCAGTTCAACATAATATGTCTCCTTGTTTACACTATTTAGTCCTAAATTTATATTTTCACAACTATTTTGTAAATAATAATGTATTGCGGAAACTCATACGTGCAACTTACTCCACGAGAGCGCTGGTAAATTGTTTTGGAGCCAATCGAAAAAAGGTTATTCCATTTCAGAAGAAAATGTCTGGTCTTTTCTGTGCAAGGTGAAAGCACCAGTACGAGGGATCTCGGGTTTTTTTAAAGTCTCTTCCAAAAACGTGTTATTAGTAATTAAAGTGGGAGTAGCTGTGGATCGAAGATGTTGCCATTGGATTATTTTTCGAGAATGTTATCTCTTGGTTGTTCTTTTTATGATTTTACAATTGACAGGTCCAAGTTGTTAACAGAGCTAAAATTCATAACATAATGAGGCAGTATAGAAGCTAAATAATGGCTAATCATTTTTGTCCTTATCCTTTAACCTGCTTAATTCCTGAAATTGACTAGTCCTGCTTCTAGTATTTGAAAATCATTAAAAAAAATTAAGATATAACTTATTAACACCAATATATTGTCAATTTTAGAGACCGAGATCAAGTTGTGTGACATAAATGGACTAGAATTGTTTTCGGGAATTTTATACCTGGTGTTGTCTGTGAACACGGTTTTCAAAATACCTCTCTATCTATGGTAATAGATGTTTAAGTGTGCCTGTTTTTTGAAACTTGATTAACGTTGCCAACAATCCTCAGCTGCTCAATGATAACAACAACAACAGATCCTCAAAAAATAGGGATTAATGGAGAAAGGTTAAGAAAAGTCTTTACTATTGAAATTTACCATTCATAATGAAATTTTTGAACGTACAGTGTACGTGGTATAAACGTACAGTGTACGTGGTGTATTGAGCACAATGGTTATAAGGAAATGCACGGTATATCTTTATGATTCACTGACGTTGATCGATCATTAGCTATAACCATAAAAAATGCATTACGTCACATTAAATCACAAGGGGAAATTTTTTCTTCGTCTGACAATGTATTCACTACTGTATTTATTCATGCAATAAATGTGCACATATGACTGTAAGCCTCGTGTAAGAACATAAATAAAGTTTATAAATACACGTACACGTATTAGTCTTTCTAGAAATTCCAAAAAAAAAAATAACATTGTAATAATATCCCATTATCTTAAATGTTGTTTCATGGTTTACTAGCTTTTTTTGTATAAACTTTCAAAGGTACGCGATTTACATCATTGACAGTTTAAGACAAATCATCACTTAGAATTTAATGTTATTTATTTCAATTAAAGCAAATAAATATTAAACAAAAATGCATTATCAGCAAAAATTTAACCAAGGGAGGCAAATGTCAGACAGGCTGTTTACGTTATAATGGAGTTAATTATCCTTATTCATGAAGGTCTTGTCCGTCTAAAACACTCTCCAGCATGTACTAGTATCGTTGAGTTATCACAAGTAATTCTGCTATATGGACGCAAATGCAATGAATTTAAATATCTTATTACACAAATTGTATTATGTCTTTTCTTTTTTTCACGAAATCATATTTTCATTAAAGGTTATAAAAAGCTAGTTCGTTATAAACACCATATACGTTCCATCATATAAGTAAAATAGTCAAGCTTCTTCCAAGATATTTAGTGGTTTGGGAATGGGTACCATCCTCTTCCGTTTCTATCTATGCCGTCAGCATGCCTTTCTCCAATTCCAGCCCCTCCCCATACTGGCAGCCCATTTCTTCCACCTGTGCCGCCAAAGAAATCTTGACTACCTATGCTCCCTCCGCGGCTTCTGCCAAAACCGCTGCCAGAAAATCCTCTTTGGAATTGCATCGGGTACTGGAATCCTCCCGGGTAAATGGTTTGAAATGGATATTGTGCTTTTGTCACGGTGATACACACTGTCAGCAAACAGCAACATATTGTTATTGGGAACTTCATTCTGAAAAATAAAAATGTAAGTACATTTTTTTGCAGCCATTTGAACACTTAATATAAAAGAGACTCAACTGGTGGAGAAATGAACGGAAATTGTGCACACAATTTATGGTTCTCAAACCTGTTGATATCATTTAAAGTCAGGGAAGTGCAGAGTCAGCACGGCCTGCAAATGTCACATATTGGTTGAAGCTTGTAAATGTCATATAAAGTCATGCCAGTCAACACATGTCCTTAAGAGTAAGGCTGGCATGCAGTTATCATAAAATTAGACAAGTCTGCAGTTGTCATGCCTGCAGATATTATATAGAGTCAGACAGCTTGTAGATGTCAAATAGAGTCATGCCAGCCTGAAGATTTTATATTGTATCATTCCAGCTTGCAAAATTTATATTGAATCAAGTCAGCTTGCAGAACTTATATAGAGTCAGGCTCGCCTGCAGATGTGATATAGTGTCAGGTCAGCTTGCAGAACTTATATAGAAATAGGCTGGTCTGTAGATGTGATATAGAGTCAGGTTAGCCTGAAGATGTGATATAAAGTCAGGCTAGCCTGCAGATGTGATATAGTCAGGCCAGCCTGCAGATGTAATATAGAGTCAAGCCAGCTTGCAGATGTGATATTGTCAAACTAGCATGCAGATGTGATAAAGTCAGGCCAGCCTGCAGATGTGATATAGAGTCAGGCCAGCCTGAAGATGTCATATAGAGTCAGGCAAGCCAGCATAACTTAGATAGAGTCAGGCTAGCCTGCAGATGTGAAATAGAGTCAGGCTAGCCTGCAGATGTGATATAGAGTCATGTTAGCCTGCATATGTGATATAGAGTCAGGCCAGCCTGCATATGTGATATAGAGTCAGGCCAGCCTGCAGATGTGATGAAGAATCAGGCTAGCCTGCAGATGTGATATAGAGCCAGGCCAGCCTGCATATGTGATATAGTCAGGCCAGCCTGCAGATGTGATATTGAGTCAGGGTAGCCTGCAGATGTGATATAGAGTCAGGGTAGCATGCAGATGGGATATTGAGTCAGGGTAGCCTGCAGATGTGATATTGAGTCAGGGTAGCCTGCAGATGTCATATAGAGTCAGGGTAGCCTGCAGATGTCATATAGAGTCAGGCTAGCCTGCAGATGTGATATTGAGTCAGGGTAGCCTGCAGATGTCATATAGAGCCAGGGTAGCCTGCAGATGTGATATTGAGTCAGGGTAGCCTGCAGATGTCATATAGAGTAAGGGTAGCCTGCAGATGTGATATTGAGTCAGGGTAGCCTGCAGATGTCATATAGAGCCAGGGTAGCCTGCAGATGTGATATTGAGTCAGGGTAGCCTGCAGATGTCATATAGAGCCAAGGTAGCCTGCAGATGTCATATAGAGCCAGGGTAGCCTGCAGATGTCATATAGAGTCAGGCTAGCCTGCAGATGTCATATAGAGTCAGGCTAGCCTGCAGATGTCATATAGAGCCGGGGTAGCCTGCAGATGTCATATAGAGTCAGGCTAGCATGCAGATGTCATATAGAGTCAGACTAGCCTGCAGATGTGATATAGAGTCAGGCTAGCATGCAGATGTCATATAGAGCCAGACTAGCCTGCAGATGTGATATAGAGCCAGACTAGCCTGCAGATGTGATATAGTCAGGCCAGCCTGAAAATGTGATATAGAGTCAGGCTAGCTTGCAGAACTTAGATAGAGTCAGACTAGCCTGCAGATGTTATATAGAGTCAGGCAGCTTGCAGATCTTATAAAGAGTCCGGCCAGCCTGCAGATGTGATTTAGAGTCAGGCCAGCCTGCAGATGTGATATAGAGTCAGGCTAGCCTCCGGGTGTCATATAGAATCAGGCAAGTCTGCAGATGTGATATAGAATCTGGTCAGCTTGCAGAACTTATATAGAGTCAGGCTGGCCTGCATATTTCATATAGACTCAGGTCAGCTTAGGCCAGACTTAATTCTGTTGACAATTTTGTTTTAACAAATTGATATCAAAATCCAACAGTGAATATATCTAAATTCAAAACTTGGATATTTAATTAATATACAAGTTTAGATGTGTTTAGATCAGAACACAGTTAATTTAATCACACATGCATGTATATAGAGATAAAAAGAAACACGTTGAATTGTAAGGGGAGATAATTCGCATTCCAAAATGTTTTTTTTGTTGATACAGATTCATTTCCCTCTCCAATGTAAGAGAAGTTTTCTTTCATAAACTACACTATAAAGAAATAGCTTGAAAAAGGTAGAATTCATATTTAGAACAGAGGATGGTCATAACGAATATGTTTGCAAAACATTGTTGCTGTTTTTTTCCGGACACTTGGGGTTACAAGTTGTCCTTCAAGCTTTACCTTTGGGGATACTTCAGGTGCTTCTAAGAGAAAGACCTCAGGTGTTCTTTGGTATATTATTTTAGACAAAAGCGTACTAATGCTGACTTTCCTTTTAACATGAGATAATCAAAACCCTGGCGGTATTTGAACCCATGGCAGTTAGAAACAATTCTAATCGGAATACAGTTTAATCTTAATGCATGTTTTCCGATGATATATATAATATATTCTAGTTTTTTATAAACAATTAATTTCATTTATTTCATTAACCGGAAACCGATGTTAGTTTTAACTTTTGAACCAAAATCTGATGGAAATTTAAACAATATTTTTGTATTTGTTTCTTATTGACATTTTCTATTTAAACGTACTATTTTCGATTGCATGCTTATCTTATTCGGCACGGTCCTAATAATAATAATAATAATAATAATAATAATATAATAATAATAATTATTATTATTATAATAATAATAATAATAATTATAATAAAAAATAATAATATAATAATAATGATAATAATAATAGTAAAAATATAGATGTTTTGTTATCGTTGTTGAGTACAGCAAAATACAACAACAGATTAGGTAGATTATAAATGTAAAAGAAATAATAATCGAAGAATAAACTTTACCGCATCGCTCTTCAAATTGTTTAATTTTCTGTTGTATATCTTCATAATATTGTTACTATTCTTATGTGAGTATTTTTTATTTTAAGTTTGCAATATTAGTTTCACAAATATAATTTCACACAGATATTATTAGATTTTAACTATTTTCTCAATCTCGAAAAAAAATGAAGAAATTATTTCGATACAAAATTGGCAATAAAATTATAAGAAATATTTAGAAATTAAAGAATGCTTATTTTTTTTAGTATTTCTTATTAAAAAAATGACCAAGACTTTCCTTTGTCTATATTCTTATTAGCATAAAGAAATCTTACCTGTATAAAGTGTTATAACCTCCGTTGTAAACCGCCGACTAAGTTCTAGTTATTCTGCAAGGACAATAACTTATGTATTACTTACTATGACCATGGTCATAAAACTGAAATAAACCTTTCATTTATGACATTTTGTTACGAATGATCAGTGGGCGAAACTCATTACAAGTTTTCATTAGGCCTGTCATTGGGCCTTATAAGAATACGCTTTCAATTAACAACCATTACGCATGTCCATATGTTTACATTTGACAATATACATGTCTGTAATTAAAACTTGTAATATATGGCGGATGTAATTAATGTTTATTTCTGTTATACAAACGCCAGAGAAAGAGCAAGCAGACGATAATGACGAGTGTCAAAATATCACATATTACCCATAAATCATTGCAGGTGTTATGTTAATAGTAGACAATGACCAAATGAACTGATGACTTTACTTATGGTCATTATACATGCTGACAGGACATTCCTTTAGGTAGTTTGACCTCTGTCCTTGATCCAGGATTGTCTTAATTATGTTCCTGATTTAGGAGAGATTATGGTTTACTTTTCCAATATCATTGGAGAAGCTACGACATGTTATATGTAAGACAATCTTTAATTTATCCGACTATAACATATAACATTGTGTATCATCTTCAAAATCATTTCGTTTTAAATAGTAATACATTTTATTTCAGATTAAAGCGTTGGACGTCATTCCCCCCTTTGAAAAGATTATACGGCTTTAGTTTTGTCCAGGGTATGTGTGGCAACATGATAAAACATAATAAGTATATAAATAATGTAGTTATTATTCCTTAATGTATACATTAACTTAATGTAAAGAGATGTTCACAATATTTAATAGGAAAAAAACTAAGTCATCGAAACACTATTTGGTTTGCAGCGTAGGTCAAACCTTGACATCGTATACTGGTGTCTCATATTTCCGTGGTACTTAACTGTTTAACACAGACAACAAAAGTTAGGAAAATAAAACTTTGGAAAATATGTTGAATATTGTAGGAAAGACATGTCAATTACATCATAGTTTATACCATTTAATTGTTACGTATAAGCAATTATGTACACAACATTGCAACTAACACCCATCTGCTGCCTAGTTAGTAAAGTTGTGTTCTTGTATTTCTAAGGCAATTACATTTTAAGAGTTTCAAAAGCAAAACCTATAGTTATCTTTATTTTTTAGTATATCTATACCTAGCCTCGTCTGAAAGTGGGGATTTTCTATAAGGCATTTATCAAATATCTTAATGGTTGTTTAACAAAGACAATATACGAAAAGTAAAATTAAAATTGTGAAATAATTAACTTTGCTCTTAATCTGAATAAAATAATATGTTTTCTCAGTCCTATATGTAACATTTTGATAAAATAAATAAAAAAAAGAAAAAGTTAAACTCCTGACAGGTGCATGGCGTCTAGGAGGCATTTGAGGCTGTTTATGCCTAATACCTTGGAATTATTAGTACCTCGGAAATATGAGGCACCAGTATACCCATTTTGTGTATTCATACTTTTGTGTTTGAGATCAATATCAGAAGTTTGAAGGAAATGGCCTAGAAGTTGCGATTGAGGACCTCAAACTAATAAACAGACCGAATACGGTATAATATAGTAAAAAGTACCACCACTAGACAACTGCATCCAAGCAAGTTTTCACGACCGTGTGGTCTAACTAGTTTATATACTGTTGGTTACTCAATTTTAACCCTTACGACGCTAAATGTATTAAATGTATTTGTCCATTTATTTTTTAAATATACAAAACCATTCAACAGTTTTTGGGATTTTTTTTGCTTACAGTGTAGACCATGTTCAGTCAAAACGAATGCAGTTTCATTTATTATCATATACCAGCAATAAGACAGTAACGTTTCTAAAGAAATTTCACATGAAGAAACACATATACGTTTACCAAGATCAGTTTTCCTTGTTCAACACCAATTATATTGCTCGTGGTGTGACGTCATGAATGTACTGAATGTACATTTATGTAATATGTAAAATAATTCTTTTGGTTTTGTTCACATTTCCATAAGTCAATCTACAGACGGTACAGTAACAAGAAACAACATCACTTGTTACGTTGGTTACGCGAAGTTGTATTCGCAAGCGGTGTGTGAACAAATAGAAATGGGAGCAAAACCTATCTATTACCAGCAGTACTTGGCTCGTTCTATTAAAACTTAGGCGTTTATTTCTATAAAATGATGTACTTTTTTAGACCATTTTCATGACTAAATAAGACATTAACTTCTGGTATGATTATAATGGGAAATAGAAAAATGATAGAGAAAATTGTACAGTTAAAAGCTATTTTAGCAGTAAGCACGACATAATACATGTATGATATAATAAACACACAAAAATACATCACAAAACGAGATTGTCAACAGATGATGAATTCTAATTAATATTGTCCATTCATCTGAAATATAAAGAAATAAAAGATGAATGAGTATAATAAAACAGTATGATAATTGTAATTATATAAATAATAATGCCACTTGTTTTGGACTTTTTTTAAACAACTCTCATTCTTATCTTACAGAATAAATAAATAAATGAACCATTCTTAAAAAAAGGCAAACATGATATTTAAAACGTTTAAATAATTGTTTAAGATGCTTAAAACCTAAAGAAAGTAGCGCTGAATGTGAGATTATTTGTAATTAAAGTAGCGACATTTAAACAATGTAGTATTTTGACTTCCATTCAAAATACTAAATCACGAGATTTTCATAACTACCGAAATGCAACTAGAGCAAAAGGTAGTTCAGGTAATTGGCAAATAAAAACCGTTTTGGAAACTTTATCACGACACAAAAAAAGAAAAAAGCTTTTGAGAACTGTAAGTAAAAGCTTTTCTACGGTTTCATGGACCTTTAATCTAAACAATATTAATATTATTTATTTCATGCTTTCCAGTGTTTTACTGTAATTTATCAGATGATTATATTCTGATTAACCACTAGTGAAATTTATAAAATATACAAAGTAATATTTTGACTTCCATACAAAATACTTAATCACTATGACTATACTTATTGGTAAAACGTGACATACGCATAAATGGTTCAGGAAATTGGCCATTGAGTAATTTTCTGACATTATAACAGATAAAAAACAAACAAACAAAAACAAAAAAACAACATGAGAAATTAAAAATAAAAGGAATTCTTAGGCATAATGGGCCTTTAAAGTTAATTATAATTGTTAGTCAAAAGGTGGGGGTTTTATGAAAAGAAGCATTCTCTCACACTCAAACATACAACATTCTCTTCCATAAGAAAACCTTCTTACACGTAAATTCTGCATAAATAGATTTGTTATATGATCATTATGAGTATTTTACGACTTCATGTAAGCAGACGACAAACCATTTGACATGTTTATTTCCTTTACGCAGAAGGCAAATAAAAATTAATAACATACATTTATGATTATCCCCACAATGTAATAAATACCAAAAATAAAAGTACGGTATAGGTTAAATATAACCACCGCTATAGATATTACAAAAAAAAAACTTTATAATCAGTCATACAAAAAAGAGCCGAAATAACATTCGATAACCTATTTATTTCTAAATCATATGAATCTACTTTTGCTAAAACTTGCACCTTAAAGGGACTTCACTGAAGACTTTTGACATAAAGATACTGTAAATCTTTTTTCGAGATTAATGTTCTATTTGTTGAAGATCTAGACCATTAACTTGTGTGCAAAATTTAGACCATTTGCTCTCTCAGTTTTTCCATAATAATTGTTCTTTATTGTGAAAAAATGGCACAAAATCCACCCAAATCGTGCTAAGAAGAAGAGCTTAATACGATTTTCAAGCTATTAATTAGTATTGTACTACATTGACTACATTAATTATCTTTCTGTTTTAAGTGGCCCAGCTGATCTTTGTCAAAGTTCATTTTTAGGTTCCTTTTTAGGGTCTTGGACCTCAGGGGAGTTCCTTTAGTGAATATTAATATGTAGCATAATATAGCATGATCCTGGTCAATTTTTAAAGTCGTTTTGCATTTTAATTAAATAATATAATAAAATTTGTGCATTAAAAACTTAAATATGCGTCTGTCAAATACGGTATGTCACAAACAAACTATTTATGAACAATCTATGTAATGTACAATACCTATCTGATGCAAAAAAAATACTAATATTCAAAACCCCTTTCACCTTTGCTAAGTTTTTAAACCGTTTTCCATCACATTTCAATCGGCAAAAACTCTTTTCTGATTTGCAGTATTTGAGGAGAAAAAAAAATGTGTTTTAAAGTAATGCTAATTTACTCATCATTGTGTCATATAAAAATGAATTGAGCCGCGTCACGACAAAACCAACATAATGGGTTTGCGACCAGCATGGATCCAGACCAGCCTGCGCATCCGCGCAGTCTGATCAGGATCCATGCTGTTCGCTATCAGTTTCTCTACTTGTTATAGGGTTTGTAAGCGAACAGCATGGATAATGATCAGACTGCGAGGATGCGCAGGCTGGTCTGGATCCATGCTGGTCGCAAACCCATTATGTTGGTTTTGTCGTAACGCGACCCAATTGTTATTTATACACAATAAAACAGTATTACTGATGTTGTAATCCTGTAACAACGCGGTGAGAGCGTTCAATTCCTCTTTTAGAACTTGGAGGTACATTCATATATAGTGATCTGTTTGGCATTAGAACTGCTAGTGTAGAATTTTGTTCTTTTTATTCTAACCTTTTCAAAAAGATAAGAACAACAAATGTACATGTAAGTATTTACAAATTACAAAAAAAAAATACAAAAAAACAAGACAACTAAAATGATTACTTTTATGATATACAGAAAGACGACTTACATTTTTATTGTATCCCCTGAGGAAATGACTAGTGTCTTATACCATCGGCGTACATCTCTCCTGCCCCTGCGCCACCATAAGTACCAACCCAACTTCCCATATACCCTTGGTCTCCTCCGATAAAGTCCAAAGGTGGTGGACCATCAAAGAAATACGGCGGCTGGGCAGACACCATACATATCATTAGGACGCACAAAACAAACACCAACTTCATAACTGTTAACATGAAAATAGAAAATCATGTCAGTTTGTGGTTAAGGGACACTGGCAAAGTTTCATGCTTTAGATTCTACACTTCCCCTTACTTTGTGTCGGAATGATACACAGAACAGGCAGGCAGATGAATGCATGGATAATTTTTTGAATCTGATATCTTGCACAAAGATGTTCTTAGTAAGAAAAAAAGGAAAATTGTGATTATTTTATTTTTTATTTCAAGCAAGTAGAAACGATATATACAGGTTCCTTTCCTTTTATTGTTGAAAAAAGGAATCCCAAAAATAATAAAATGTAGACTGGAATAAAACAAAATCATTGCCATAGTCTTTGGTTTACCAAGTGAACTTTTTTATGAAAATAGAAGAAACTTATCTTGTTCATCTTCTTGCCATCAATATTTAAAAAGTGTTTTTATACTTAACAAAATAGAACGAAACAAAAGCAATATCATAAAAGAAAAAATACGCTTGCATGTACATGTCAATATACATGTTTTGTGCGACGAATCAACATATAAATGGTCTTATGCGTGTCTGTTTGTCCATGTTTAGTTTCTAGTGACACAATTAATTTATCTTTTAAGTTTATGTTTGTTGTAGAAAATGTGCGTAAAACCATTTCCTTATTTCATTTATATGAGATACATCAAAGTAAAACTTTTTTGTAAGACACAGGTTTGTTTTGCCCAGTTTAAACAAGTAAACCTGTGCTTGTACTCTTGACCAAATGTGACACAAAAATCTCTTACAAAAGAACGAATTTAAAAATGTGCTTAATCAGCAATATTTTTGATACAAAAATGAAATTTTGTTTAAGATTACAAAAATAAATTACGATTTCTATTTTTTCAATGATATTAAAAAGAAAATGGTCAATGTTTAAAAATCTTTGTGAGCCTAAAAATGTGCGGATTTCAGTTAATATTCTCTCTCAATATTTTTGTTTAAGCGAAACGTTACTAAGATCAGACGAGATTGTACTTTATTGCATATTCTATTAGTGGCATCGTATTTATTGCATTATTTATAGCTTATTAAATTTTCAAAATCTTATACTTTTGTTAATGAAGATAACACAAAATTAATTACAACGTGTCTTTGTAAAGTTATAGATTAGTTTGTTTCAAGTTTGGCCTTGAAAACGAAAGTCTTTTTCTATAAAATTCTTACAGATATCTTTTCAAAGCGAAATGATTGCATGACCTGTAAAAAATACCGACGCACAGCCATCAATATCGCTTTGAAATTTAAAAAAAATAGTGTTCATGTAATTCACTTCCTGTGATAATTAAATCATACCTTTACATCCTGAAAAATTTGATATAAATTTTACATACCTTTTCTTGTATTAAGATGCTGCCGAAAAACACCCAGCCGCAAAGAACACGCGAATATTCTGAAGTAAAGCCCGTGATTACAAAAGAAGCCGTAGATCTTGGTGCATCGTCCGTGCTAAATTAATCATCGGCTTTTAACGCATCACGTAATATGTGTTCAACATAAACCGCGTATGTAAGTCTCTCCCCTTACATAATATTCTCCTAATTTATTGAGTCCAACTGCAAAACCTGAACTTATATCAAATGATAGAGAAAATTAGGAACAATGTTTTGAAAACCTTTTATATAACTACAAAATAAATATACATGGTTTTAAAATCTGGAAAAAGGGTGATCCCTCACAGCAAAATAACATGAAAATTGCAGACTTGGTGTGGTTGAGTCTATGAAAAAGTGCAAAATCCCTCATACTGGTTTGAGCGGTACTCAATTTCAGGTTTTGAAGTGCTGGAATCAATTATCCTGAAAGACCTTGACTGGAATAATGTAATGGTTATATTTCGCAACCACTTTTTTCTGAATTGAAGACGCCTTTATAGTTATTTGGGTGTAACCTGATTTACTTGTATATCAATTCAGTTAAAATCTCAATATTTTCCAAAGCTTCACATAAATTAATGTTCCGTGTATCGGCTGCTTGATATAGTCGAAATGAGTTCGGAACGTTTTTTTTATAACTAAAACTTTAAATTGTTTTTTCTTCTTTAATTTTGGATTTAATATATACATTATGACATTTAGCTCATATTGAGCAAATGCCGATTACTTTTTAATTAATATATACTTAGATATCGATATTGAATTGAAAACAAGTTGTCACCTTTCACAGTTTTATTAAAACATATACATGACAATACACGTGCTGGTTGTCATAACACATCCGTGGAAGCAAAACGGCGTCTGTAAATATTAATTTTATTTATATATTCATTTCTAGGCAGACAACAATTAGATCTAGATCATGTTTTAAAATACAATTATTTTCAGAGTCCCTTTCAAATATTTGTAATCGTTTACTAGGTTAAATAACGCCTCATACAAACGCGCGCACGCACGCACACACGAAAAAACGTACCATCATGTTATCATTTTATTGTTATCTTTACATTCCACTTTGAAATATATGTTTACCAATATTTTACATACGAACACATGATCTTAATGTTGATCATTTTACCATAGTTTCAATACAAGTTGAAATACTTATTTCTTTTAAAATGTTTTGAAAATAATATGTTTTGTAACCTCTACTTTACAGGACTTCTATCAATACAATACATGCTGTTAAAAAACACTTTTATTAACATAATTTTTAGTATTCATACTTTTACTGCAAAATTTAGCAAACCAAAACTTACATTGTGAAGATGTTCGATGAGCTTAATGTGGATGAAAATGTCCATGAGATGCATGGTACTCTCTAGTCCCCGGCGGTCCTTCTCCGTCAGCAAACATTGGTCCGGCTCCCGCCCCTCCGTATCGCCCTACCCAACGACCCATGTAACCTGGGTACCCTCCTAATAGATATAAACGAGGGGGTCGACGATACATGTAAGGTCGTTGGGCAAACGCCACAACTAACATCAGAGCGCCGAGCAGAAATAGCAGCTTCATAGTTTCTACAAAATAATCATGGATTCATCAAACATACAATGTTATAGATTGTTCTGCAATGTCATAGATTGTTCTGAGCAAAAAGCACATTCATAGTTTCTAGAATGTAATTTATTATGAGTTAAACAATCATAAAATATAATCGACTGTTCGGGACAAAAATAGCAGCTTCATAGTTTCTACAAAAAAATCATGGATTCGATAATCATACAATAAAATCGTTTGTTCTGAACAAAAAGCAGATTCATAGTTTCTACAAAGTAATAATGGATTCATCATACAAAATTATCGATTGTTCGGATCAAAAATAGCAGATTCATAGTTTCTAGAAAGTAATTAATTATGGATTTCTCAATCATACAATATTATTGATTGTTTTGAGCAAAAATTACAATCATAGTTTCTAGAAAATAATTAATTATAGATTTATCAATCATACAATATTATCTATTGTTCGAAGCAAAAACAGCAGTTTGATAGTTTCTATAAAATCAATACAAGTATAATCAATTTTTTGGAGAAAATATATGTGGAATATGCATAGATGGAGACAAGAAAATGCTAAGTACTCTAATTCATATATATAAATTAAATTATTTTAAATGTATATTAATGATAAATTATACTGAACATGATATATTCATTGAAAAACTAAGACATACTGCATATTTTCCATTACTGATAATGATAATGTAAAATAAATGAAGTTTGGCTAAATTATCTTGCTGATGGCAAAATGTTTAGGATAAGGTGCATTAAAACACGACACATTTTAATTTCACGGTCTTGTACATAGTTTGAACCTATACGTTGCTAACAACATCAAAATTAAATAAATAAAACTGTGATACATAATACAAAATGCGAAACGTAAACGCCGCTTAAAAAAGTGACAAACTGGTCCGGTGTTTAGAGCACGTATAGTCAGTGTAATAAATTTAATAAGATTGATAGCCCCCTATCTCACAGACGTAGAAAAAACGTACATTACAACTGACATGCAATTTATTGTGCAACTGAAAAAATAAAAAAAGATGCAAAATAAATCAAAATTTTAAGCATGTTACATGAGTAGCAATATTTTTATGCATTAGAACATGTACCAACAATAACTTACGTTTTCTGTATTGAAGGCCACCAGTTACCGCGGAGCTCCAACACGCACGGACGACGTCTGAGCAAAATCTGACTTACACAGCTGTACCATGTATACTGTACATCTCATTTTGATTATTAAAGGCTTTTAACTGATCACGAAAATCATGTTAACACGACAAAAATGCTTGTAAATCAGTTCGTTTGAAATATACATTTATTGTGATTTATTTGGGAAGGGTTAGAAAATTGGCTGAGGTCCCGATATGTTAATGGTGTATTTTTGTCTGTAACATGTGCGCTAATGTATCATGCATTTTATATATACATTAGGATTTCTCGCAAAAATACATTTATGATCTCAAAATATCTTAAAAATTAGAAGAATTTAAAATCTGAAAATGATGCTGGTAATGTACATCGTTTGTTTTGTTTATTTTATTTTTTTTTTTTGGTCTTGAAATATTTTTAAAAAATACATGGTTTAATACATTTACAAGTTATAGGCAAACAGAAATAAACTTTTTAAAGCCAAAAAGCAACGAGTTGCATTAGGCAATTATATGTTTTTAGAAAAACTTTATATAAAACTTTCAAGTCTGAGTATAAAAGCGAACAGTACTGTAAAATGATATTGCCGTCTTCTCATCGGTCAGCATTTTGTAAATTTAGATTAGGAGTTGCACCGATTCGTATGGAGACCGGCCGTTATGAGGGTCTGAGCATAGAAGATAGAATTTGTCCTTTTTGTAACGATAATCAGTTGAAAATGAATAACATGTTTTGTTTAATTGTAAGGTTTATGATGATTTAAGAGTAGATTTATATTCTAGAGCAATAGGGCATGATAGTTTGTTCTCTGAAATGCAAGATTCTGATAAATATACTTACTTGTTTTCCAAATAAGAGCCAAAAATGATAAGATATTGTGCCAAAACCTGTAAAAATATTTTAGATAGACGTCGTTTTAAACTCTGTAAATAAAATATTGCACTAGATGTCGAATGTTTCACACATTTGTTTATTACCTTATTTTTTATTATATGTCAGAAACCTCTTAAATGCAGTGTTTCGATGTTGATATTCATCTTGATATTCGTGCTTTTTTATTTTATGTTGATATATGTTTTACTATAAATAATTGTTTAATGTCTTTCTTGTATAGTATTTTAACTCCATGCTTAGTTTAGATAAACTGTTCGATTTTAATGTAATTTCTGACGACTTTCTCTTTTAATTCCATAAGGAATGGCATTGCATTTATTTATTTTGTTTTAAAATATATATGTATGTTTTTATCATGTATATGCAATGATGAGATATAAATAATGATGAGATATAAATAAAGATAAAATAAAGATACTGCTACTGCTACTACTGCTACTACTGCTACTACTACTACTACTACTACTCCGCGTCCCGAGATATTGATGGGGTCTTTACGACTACTTAAGTCGTTCTCAACCTGACCCTACGGCGTCCATCGCGACCTAGGAACACAGTTATGTCGCAAGTCCGGTGTGACGGGCATATAACGAAAATTATTTGAAGAATGTCTCCGCTTAGGACGATGAGCTTTCTTGAATGCGTTGCTGGAAGATTAAATCGACGTTTTCTCCACGGGACTACAAACATCATGAAACAAATTTTAACCATTAATTTACTACAATAGAACGGGTTTAACCTTTGCTACCAGTTAAAAACCAGGCTGACTAGCACATTTGTACAGTCTGACCAGACTCTGTACTGCTTTTAGCTTATTTTTTTTCTATTTTGATATTGATACCCTTTAAACTTTAAATGGACTATTCAAAATTCAAAGCAAGGTTAATCCATTACACAAATCCAGCTAGTCAAAGGTTTCCTCCTTTCACTGTCAATGTGTCGTCTATCAGTTTTGGTTCGGGGTCTTGTGGGTGCCTTACTAGTGTGGCTGGATTGTGTTGGGGTTACATTCTGTGAACGTCGCCTTGCCTTGTTTATCTTTGTTCTCAAATTCTAACTGGCATGGTAACAATTATTAAATAACTATTAAAATGCAGCGAAGATACGAAGTTACAGCGGAGTGACACATTAATCGGATTATTGACTTATTAAAAACATACATTTGTCAGTTTTTATGTAATATAAATCCACTTGTTGGATGTGGTTGCCATTTAGAGTTTAGACATCAGAATTGCAGTTACCGTTTATCCCTTCGTGATTTTAAGAGGCGACTAAATGGGTTCGATTACTGGAGACTATGCATTTTTTAGCTCCTGCAGTTGAGGTAGTAATGACCCCTGGTGTTGCTTCAAATAAGTAACACCAGAGATTTCAACTTTCCTGTTTCTTCGCAGTATGACCTAAATTGTTTTCATATGTCAAACCGAACAATGTAATATAAAGTCAATAATAATAATAAAGAGAGAGAAAAATGATTTATATAGTTGCTATACAGTATTAAAAAGAACACTCCTCCGAAATCAATCTTTTTATATTAATGGACAGCATAATACAATGACATTGCACTTTATGGCTATTATACAGGCTACGAAACAAAAGCAATGAATTAATAATAATTAATAAATTGATTAATTAACAATGTGACAACAATAAAAGGAAAGTAAAGGTTAATAAACTTTCATCAATCTTTGCCGAATCAACCATAAATGTTTTTGGGTGAGAGACAAATATGTTACATTTGTTTGCAATATATCATAATGTTAATATGTTATTTCATCAAAAACGATTTATATTAAATCGTTACTGAAAGTCTTCAGCTCTCTGTGACTTACTAAATGGGATGATTTCGTTGCGAAACTGATGTCCTCTTCTCCCTGCGTCTTTTCTCCGTTACATATTCACATAAATTTTTATACATTCGTACTTTCGTCCTCATCGTAACCCCTATATTTCTCAGCGCCTTACCATGGACTCGGTTGACGATTTCGTTGAACAAAGGCTCGTAATAAAACCTGGACCAATTTTCATCTCTCCATATCAAAACTGACGGATTTGAATAATTCAAATTGATCAATAAAAGGCAATTCTGATGGCTTCAGACGGATAGTTCTATTTTTGTGTTTGTATTCATTAAGTATAAACTGTTGTTAATTTAATGTACTATACTGAAAATATACATGTTCATCATTATGGTTAACTGCCATGTTATCTTATCGGTTGGATTTATGCTAGAATCGATAAGTCGGATATTATGATACTCTCTTTCAATACTTTTTTTTCTTTTTAAAGGTTTAGTCAGATGTATCTTTTTTTAATTATGCAAATATGTATTAAGTTCATATAAGAGAAATGTTTTCTCAAAACCAGTCTAAATAAGAATGATTGTAATATTCACATTTTATCGTTAATTTACAACTGCATTTAAACTTCATTTCTGATGTATGATTAAGCCATTTTGTTTTTAAATGTCATTTGAACATTACATTAGTTACGTAATTTGATTTACTGATTTTATTAATGACTTAAGTTTATGGTTCATTTTCGGCATGAAATGGGACAATGATTGAAATACGTGTACTTACAGTGAAATAAATATGGTATAAGTACCTAATTTGCCTTTTTCATCGTTATGATAATATGCAATTTGTAAAACATTATAAAACTTTACACTCTATCATGAAACAATCTCCAGAAAAGACAAGATAGTATCTAGTCCGATATCTTATCAGGTTTTCTTACATTTTTTTTCTTTTTCAATTGTTGATACATTTATTTTTGCTTGTGACATATAGTGACAAGATAAGTCAATAAACCTAAATGATAAATTATGTAGTTATTTTTGTTTCTTTTCTAATAAAAGAAAAGAAAGACACCAGCTGTGTTGAACATAAAAAGATAAATGTAGACATCTGCGTCTAAATCAAAAAGCTACAGTGTACAATATCAATTCATTTTATTTTCGTATCTAAAAAATAAGTTTATAGCTATGCCATTATCTTTATTTTTCAGAAATATCCTATTTTCCAATATAAATTGTATAAAATTAAATAAACTATAAGACAGACCATGTGTATATATTGTATTTGATCAGCCCTTCGACTTTTTCGAAATGTTGTGTCGAATATTAATGTTGAAAAGGATGTTGTGGTAACATTCAATTACAACAAAAGAATCAATTACAATTTTTTTTCATAGAAAAGTGTACACTGTTTGAAAATGATTTCAAAGCATCTTTCTTTTTTCAAAACATTAAAGTTCAAATGACAGACTGAAGCTATAATGAAGATCACTCAATGTATACCGATAGGCTTTAAAAGCATTGGTCACGTCACACATACTGTTTATAGAAGGCGAAACAGACCAAGGCTGAAACGTCTAGGAGGTGAAACGTCCATTTCGCGCCAAGCTTACACGGCTCATGTTATGTTATATAGAATAAAAATATGTAAAAGTTTCAACTAAAGGCACTTAATAGCACATGCTTTCAAAAGGGAGCTCTTTTTTGGATTGGCATTTCATGACGTTCGTTCTTAAAACCAAAAAGCGTTCTTAAATTGTAACATTATTAGGTTTTTTTCCTTTGTTTTTGTTGGGAGGGGGTTATGCAATATAGATTCACATCGTGACATATTTTGTAAAGATTACACGAACAAGGTGCAATATAAATATTATGTTTTATTCAATTATTTACAAATTGAAACACGTAGTTTTTTGCTTTCCTTTAGACAATAATGAATCAGCACCTTAGATGTCGAACATTTAAACATATCCTTCGTCTCTATGAAACGGCTTAAAGCATTTTGTCTTTCTTCTAGATTGTTGATAAATTATATTGTATAGAATACATGTAGCTTATAAATTAATAATTTATCCTGAGAAACTGATATAACCCAATTCCTTCAGGAGTAACAAAATCCTTTTTATAACTTAATGCAGTCGAGAAAACATCCCCTTTACTTTAAACATACTTTATGACCACACACATTACATACTCACTGTAAGTTAAGTATACATGTTATCATCATCTCCAATCATATGCCAAATAATACCAATCTGTTTCCTATTTTATAGCTTTACATTATTTTGATTAACTTAACGAGCTTGTAGAGTAGTGAATAAATATCCGAGTCATGTCAAAGGAAATGTCAAATTGTTGATTCAGTCAAGAATTTTGATATTTATGTAAAGAAATGATTGGGGGCAAAGTTTT